CAAAACAAATTCTATGGGACTGAGAATTATAATTTTCTACTTTTTAGTCCATTTTTAAAAGCGTTGTATATTAAAAAGTTTTTTTTATATTATTTATTTTCTACTTATTAATCTTGTCTGTTAAAATTTTGCAATAGATATTAAAATAATTCAACGATATTAAAAGATTGGTGCACACACATGCATATACATATGTATGTACATACATACGAGCACCAATTAATTTCATTTAAAGAAATGGGGTGTCGTTCATTTCCGCTGTAGCGTACGTAGTGCATAGTGCGACATCTACCTCTCGAACCAACGAGGTTGATATCTAGACTTTATAGGAACTTTGCAAAGCAAAGCTTTTATAGCTGTCTGGACACACAACATTGGAAGTTGATAAAAGCGTTGTACAAAATTTGAGATCGATTTTAAGCGATCGTTATTCATATACCCACATTAGGGCTGGTCGATTTGTACGGGCCCCAAAAAATTAACAGAGGCACATCGCGCTTATGATTATTTGGGTAATTTCAAGCATTTGTGTCCAAGAAATTATAGGTCTTAAGTTAATTTCGAGCCAGCGATTTTTTCTATCTAGTTTTTTTTTTCAAAACGTGGTTCATCTGTTGAAACAGCTGTATAGAAAACTAGCCAAAATGTGTATCTGGGGGTTTTTGTGATCGAGGAATCCATTTCTGGCAGTAATTTTTTCTTTTGAGGGCTGCCAGAGGGCGCTTCCGTCGTTTTTTTTTTTGGATTATAACGCTTTTTTCCGAAAATCGACAACATTGTTGCGAAAATCCACGTAATTTGACTTTCTCATGATGCAACTGTGGCGGCAAAAAAGTTAGTCACCCTACTATTAGCTATTAAAATTTAGTTTGAGATATACTTGTATGTAAAATCTGGTAACACTGTTTTAATCATGTTTCATTTCTCAAATTGACATTGTTTTCTTGAAACATTCTAGAATTTAGATACATAATTATCTTTCTCTTTCTTCTTCTACGCTATATTGGTAACCATTCGAAAAACGTGTATACGAGTGCTACTCATCTCGCGAAGACATAGATTATTTGATACTTGATTTTGTAATAATAATAATTTAATAAAAAGCTACTGAAGAGTTTGCTGAGTAAAAAACACAACCGGTGTGTAAACATTTATTGACATACCAATTGGCGTTAGGAACTCGGTAGTGGGACCTGCGCTAACACCGTGACGAGCCAGGAGCTCCCCACATTGGTGACCCTCGACACAAGGAATTCGCGAAGGTTCGAAAAGCACGTGACGGCATCGGCCACTTGAACAAAAAATATATACGTTTTGTAGCGTGAAGAAGAGCTAGCCGTGCACTGCGTCGCTGACGTGGTTTTGTCTGCAAGGATGTCTGAAGAAGAACAGGATAATGCCACAGGTGCAGCCCACACGCCGGAAGAAAATCGTTTTACCGGTGAGTTACAACACATCAGCATTAGACCGCCTGCATTCTGCAAGCAAAGGCCCGAGTTATATTTTATCCAGATGGAATCCAATTTTGCAATTTCACATGTAAAAAGCGATGACACGAAGTATCATTATGTGATCAGTTCATTAGATGCGGAGGCGATAATGCAAATTGCTGACATTGTAAGCAACCCGCCGGCAGAAAATAAATACGAGGCAGTTAAAAAAGCACTGATTGCTGAATATGCCGACTCTGATCAGCGAAAAAATACGCAAGCTAATTAAAGAAAGTGAACTCGGTGACTTAAAGCCTACACAACTGCTGAAACGGATGAGAGAATTGGCCAGGGATAAACTTAGTGACGATGTGCTAAAATCGCTATGGCTCGAACGGTTACCTGTTAATTAATGTACGTGCGGTGATATCAATTGGCACTGGCGATACAACAGACATGGCACGACAAGCGGACCAGATGATGGAAATGTTAAATTTTTCGAATGTATCAGCCATACGTGGCGAGCCTACACTCGGTAAGCAGATACAACAGCTACAAGCTCAAATAGACGAACTCAAAGTGTCTCGAGCACTACGCAATCAGAGTAGAGGTACAAAAACTCGTGACAGAAGCCAGTCGCGTCCACGATTTCCGTTCTGCAAATATCACTGGCGTTTTGGTGTGAAGGCAAAAAAATGCTTCGAACCATGCCAGTTCAATAAACTAGACATGACGGAAAACTGAAGGAAGCTCTGTTAGCAGAGACGACGATTTAACTGAAAGTCGTCGTCTTTTCATAAATGATCGAAAAACAAATCGTCGTTTCCTTATTGACACCGGCGCCGATTTCTCCGTAGTCCCACCACAAAAATGCGACAAGTTAGACTTAAACCACAGCCTGTATGCAGCTAATGGTACTCCGATAAAAACTTACGGAACAAAGCTTCTCCAAGTCGACTTCGGGTTAAGAAGAGCAATGGACTGGAAGTTTGTGGTTGCGGACGTCACTCGACCTATTATCGGAGCGGATTTCCTTCACATGTTTGGACTGCTCGTTGACTTAAGGAGAAAAAAACTTGTCGACACAACAACAAAGTTTGAGGTAAGCGCACTTGCTTGTACAACTTCTAGAGAACAAATGTATACAGTTGCACCAAACCTGCCTGGTCCGATCAAACGTATGCTGGATGAGTACAAAGACTTGACAACACTTGAGACTTGACGTCTCCCATGCCTCACTTAGCACGAAAGTTCGACATCATATAGTCACCACAGGTCCTATTTTTTGTAAAGCGCGCAGACTTAATCCCGAAAAGAATGCCATTGCAAAGAAAGAATTCGATTACATGCTAAAAAAGAACATCTGTCGAGTTAGTAGCAGCCAATGGGCAAGCCCGCTTCATATGGTCCCCAAAAAAGAAGAAGGTAAATGGCGTCCATGTGGCGACTACCGCCGACTCAACGCAATGACTCAACCTGATCGGGACCCGATACCGCACATACAAGACTTTGCGCAAAAATTATATGGTAAGTCTGTATTCACCATAGTAGATTTAGAACGTGCGTACAACCAGATCCCGATCGCTGAAGACGATCGTGAAAAGACTGCCGTAATAACACCCTTCGGGTTATTTGAGTTTAATGTCATGACATTCGGTTTGCGCAATGCGAGTCAGACGTTTCAACGCTTTATGAACGATATATTCCAAGACATGGAGTACGTTGTCGTTTATATAGATGACATTTGCATTGCCTCAGCGTCAGAGGAAGAACATGCGACTCACTTGCGCAAAGTGCTTCAGCGGCTACGTGATAACAACCTAAAAATAAACGCTTCTAAATGCCATTTCGTAAAGCCAGAAGTAAATTTTCTAGGTTACAAAGTGACGAAAGATGGCATTGATCCACCAGCTGACAAAGTCGAAGCCATCGCCAATTTCAAAATGCCCACTGTAGCTCACGAATTGAGACAGTTTGTCGCTATGCTCAATTTTTATCGTCGCTCGCTGCCGAACGCTGCCTTGTCACAGGGTAAACTCCTCAAGTTGATAAAAGGGAATAAAAAGCGAGATAAAACGCCTATAAGTTGGAATGATGAGACGAGAGAAGCATTTCAACAATGCAAACGTGATTTAGCAATGCAACGTTACTTGTACACCCATCGCCAAATGCCAAATTAGTACTCCATGAAGACGCAAGTAGTTATTGCGTAGGTGCAGCGATCCACGAGGTAAGAGATGGTGCGTTGTACCCATTAGGTTTTTTCTCAAAACGCATGTCAGAAACGCAAAAAAGACAAAGTACGTACGATCGGGAGTTACTCGCCATGTACCAGTCCGTCAAGTATTTTCAATACCTTATCGACGGCCGTTAGTGCACGATACTCACCGACCATAAACCACTCACATTTGCTTTTCAGCAGAAGCCCGACAAAACTACCCCGAAACAGACGCGGTATCTTAGCTTCATCAGCGAATTCACCACCGACATACGACATGTGTCCGGAAAAGCCAACGTTGTGGCGGATCTGTTGTCTCACGTAGAGTCAATCTTCAGTGGCGAACAAATTAATTTTGAACAACTAGCCCGAGAGCAAGTAAACGTCGTGGAACTTCAACAACTCATGAGAAATACTTCACTTCAACTCCAGCCGATAAAAATACCAGGCACTAATTTAACGGTCATATGCGACTTATCAACCAAAAACGTGCGCCCGTACGTGTCGGAAAAGTTTCGTAAACAAGCCTTCGAGTCGGTTCACAACATTAGTCATCCGGGAAAGAGGTCGACGATTCGGTTGGTGACAGAGCGCTTTGTATGGCCGCGTATGAAACGACAGATTAGCAACATGGTATCTTCATGCCTGCAGTGTCATAAATCAAAGAGCTGGAAGCACAATCGCACAGCACTAGACAACTTTGCAGTGCCCTCGAAACGATTTCGTCACATCAACATTTAGGGTGCTCACAGTTCTATATTATCTACTGTGTTAATTTTGCCACCTGGTAACTTTAAAACTTTTTACCATATGGTAACTTTGTTTGTTGTTGGTTCCCATACTAATTAGAGATAACACTTTTGGGCAAAATTACTCGACTTTGTCTCATGTTTATGTTTTGTGTTAAACTGGCATCTATCGCTGCTTGTACATACATACATGAATTTCGCTTTGGGCGCAGCGCTGCTTGTACATAAGTTTCTCTTTGCGCCTGCCTGGAGCTGGCAAAGGTTCTTTATTTTATTTTTGCGCTGTGCTAGCTGAGTATAAAAAAGAGAAGAGAGAATAGAGAGAAATATGTATGTGGTTTGTTGATGCTCTCTAAACACAAACGCGTGGAAGGCAAACGGTCTAGCAATGCGTGGTATTGTTGATCAACTTAATACTTTATTTAAACATAAGGGTTGCTCACAGTTCGAGTGTATTATCTTGTTAAAGTTGCCACCTTTTAACTTTAGAAGTAAACTGTGAATACCCTAATTAATATTATTGGACCGTTACCACTGTCAGAAGGGTATAAGTATTGTTTAACCTGCATCGATCGATTTTTTCGATGGCCTGCCGCAATACCCATGCAAGACGTTACGGCTGAAGCTGTTGCCAAAGCACTGTTACACGGATGGATAGCGCACTTTGGTGTGCCGGCTGCCATTACCACCGACCAGGGTAAACAATTTGAATCGAGGTTATGCAAAGAGTTGACGAACCTGGTTGGCGCTAAGCACTTTAGGTCAACTGCGTACCATCCTCAAGCGAATGGTCTGATTGAGCGCATGCATAGGACGCTAAAGACAGCAATCAAGTGTCACACCGATAGTAATTGGATCAGCTGCCTTCCCATAGCGTTATTAGGGCTTCGTACAACTTATAAAGAAGATTTGGGAGCGACGCCAGCAGAAATGGTATACGGCGAAAATTTAAAGTTACCCGGAGAGTTTTTCACCAACCACACGAGCGAAGGCACAGGCGATGAAGTTATTGGCAATTTAAAAAATGTAATGACGAATCTTAAACCAGTTTCAACATCGAACCATGCTGCGAACAAAGTTTTTGTGCAGCGAGATATCAACAACTGCACGCATGTTTTCGTTAGGGATGACTCTGTACGACGGTCCGTTTAAAGTCGTTCGCCGTTTCGATAAGTACTACGATCTAGAGATGAAGAATAGAGTCGCGAGAATTAGCATAGACAGACTCAAGTCCGCACACTTCACCGAAGATGACAACGGAACAAGCGATCAAACACAAACTGCAGTACAACAACCAGTTCAGCGACCAGAGCCGACACAGAGAAGTATTCTTAAACCCACATCAGAATCGTCAAAAGAAGAAAAGGTTACAACTGCAACGCGAGTTGGACGAAGGGTGAATTTTCCGAAACGTTTTGCCGACTTCATCTAACGATGAATCTGAAGGGGGAGTAGATGTGGCGGCAAAAAAGTTAGTCACCCTACTATTAGCTATTAAAATTTAGTTTGAGATATACTTGTATGTAAAACCTGGTAACAATGTTTTAATCATGTTTCATTCCAATAGCATATTATGATCCAGGTAGTAATAAATCGAGATATTGGTTACATATTGCACTTTCTAAAGGTTATTGGCCGTTTTAATATAATAGTGCTCCCTTATTACATAAAGGAATTTGTTATTTATCATCTAAATACAAATAATACATTTTGAATACTTATCCATGTTATGTTTCCCTCGTGTGACCACCACGCAAATATCGGACTTAAAAGTACCAAAATAAAGCAATACATATGTAGATAGCCCTTTTTACATAACATTTCTATTTCTTAAATTATGTCAAATGTCCCTGCGCCCTGAGCGGTGCAAAACAAGCTACTGTTCGACTAGCTGCGAAGCAGACAGAAAATAGGAAAAATGATTCGAAAACTATGATTTCTATAGATTTTTGTACGGGCTATACGATGGCACTGAGCGTTTTCCAAAATTTTCCCATTTTCATGGTGAAAATTCTGAACGAAAATTTATTTGTAATTTTTCTGAATTATGGTCATTTTTAATATTGTTTTTAGTTATCTCAATCGAAAGATCAAGTCTTTTTACATATAAATCACTAATAAAAAAGGACTTTTTTTTACTTTTCCGAGCTATAAAGCCTTAAAGAGCGCAGCGCCCTAATCTGCTAACCGTGTGAGTCATAATAATATTGTTATAACTTTGCAACTACTTGATGTTTAATTCTGAAACTTTCGCAAAAACTTCCCTACATAGTCATCTACAACACTGTTTTAAAACAAAAAATTTATTTCAAACTTTATGACACAGCTTTTGCATTTGAAAACAAACACCCTCTTAATTCTCATAAAAAAAATATGAACCTGTAGTTTTATTTGTAGTAAGTATTAAGAAGTGGTGTTAAACTTAAATTCTTTGCTTTGTTTGTAGTTTATTGTGTGAAAATTTCAAATCGATCGATACACAAACGACTGAGATATAGCGCGTTAAAGTGACAATTTTGTTAAAATTCTCAAGAATCAGTTCAGCCCAAGGTACATTGAACAGGTAGTATCAGTAGAGCAGCTGATTTGATTTATTTTCAAATTATTTGGTCTCGAAAATGTCAAATATTTTTAATTTTTTCTCACAAAAATTCTGAATTGTTAAAATCCATTTGCATGTGAAACCTTTTTCCATACAAAACAAGCGATTGAATAGCAGCTTTTGGAACGTTCGCCCAACTCGGCAGCACGACCGCTGATTACTGGGCCTTGCAAAGGATGGATCAATGCTTCGAGAAGCAAACAAATTTACTAGGAAAGAAAGTTGCATAAATTTTTATTTTTTCCAATTTCAATTTTTTATTTTTTATAATTTTTTGTATTTCACATGGCACACTTTGATTTAGAAGAAAAAATTCAGAACAGTTTTTGACACTTTCGATACCAGAAGCAACAACAAAATACACGCAAATGTTGTTTTTGCTCTACTGATACTACCTGTTTAATGTGCCTTGGTTCAGCCCAATAATAAAATTTCAAACAACGCCACGCTGCAGCTTTTGTATGTTCGATCACAGGAAAATAAATAGCAAAGACAATAGCAAAGACAAATTTAAATTTGAACAAATCGTCGCCTGGCTTGATTCAAAGCGAACATTTGAAAGCACATTTTTATGTTGTGCCTGTAGCTGGGTGCGCAAAGTTGCTGGCTGCAATTAATTGCGACCGAAAGTGTTTAGAATCTTTATTTTCGTTTTTTTTTTAATTATGAAAAAGTATCTGTGAAGTGCACAACGAAAAAAAAGTGGTTCGGTTACAGGTTACATGTTACTACTACAAGTACTAGTGAAAAGTTACGCAGCGGGAGTCAATTGTCACCTCCTAGGACAACTCCATGTTAAATGCGACAGTAGAAAGCATGGCTGGTAGATTTGCAAGGTACTGGTATTCGACTCCCGAAAACTAGTGAACTCACTAGTTCTGTACTAGTATTTCCGCTGCAGGGATATTAAAAGATTGATGCACACACATGCATATACATATGTATGTATATACATACGAGCACCAATTAATTTCATTTAAAGCACTGATAGGCACTGCCTTGCCTGCGGGCAAAGCTCTTTTAAGCTTTCTATAC